CGGCAGCAGGAGGCCCTAGGCGGCAGGGGCCTGGCGCTCGGCTCTAGGGACCCTCGAGCCGCCCTGCGCTCCGAGCCGCCCGGCTGTCGCGATGGCCTCGGAAGTGGTGTGCGGACTCATCTTCAGGCTGCTGCTCCCCATCTGCCTGACAGTAGGTGAGTGCGGGGCGCGCGCCCAGGGTCCGTGGGGGTGTGGAGGGGCGCCCAGGGATGGGGGCGCGCTGCCGGGCAAGCCCAAATTACGGGCTTTAGCACCCCGGGACCGGGTCGGGGAGCCCGCGCGGCGGCCCGGGGGCCGGCGGGGTCAGACTCACTGTCCCAAGAGCCACGGCCGGGCCCTCTCCCTTCCGCGCTGGGGCGCACGGTCGGGGTCTCTCTTCACCTCCCAGCCGCAGAGTCCGGGAGACCCGATAGGCGTGTGCTGGAGACTGTGTGGACCTTAGTCACACGTGGAATTTCTTTCGTGGAGTGCCCCTGGTACACAGAGAATGCTGCTCTGGCTGGAAGGCGGCTGTAGACCCCCTTCCCCGGTGCAGTGCGGGGGGGACCCGAGCCCCCTCCTCCCCGCCCCCAGACGCGCGGAGACAGCGCAGGGTGCCTCCGGAAGGCACCGAGGCCGCCTCTCCCCACACCCCAGAACTGTGACGGAAGAAGTGTAAGGAACAGTGCCCTGAAGTTGCGTGCTTTCTTTTACTTTCACAAAAGCTTCTACAGCAAAAGTTCTGGATGCTGACACGATAGACCCCCAGACCCAGTCCCGCCCAGCGGGCGCCTGCCCTTCCAGGTTTTTCAAAGGGACCCAGAGCGGGATCGCCTCTCCCTGGGACTGGCGAGGATTAAGGGAGGGTCCTAAGGGAGCTCCAGTCAAGGATTTCGCTCTTTCTATGGGCTGAGAGAGTGTTACCAGCAACTGGGCGTCAGGTCTAAGGACACTGGCCATGTGCTTGGAGTGAGAGACTGGCTTCTCCTCTAATAGACGGCGCCTGTTAGATTGGCTCCCACTCCTAAGAATGACCCACAGCTCCCCACTTTCCCTTTCCCGCCGCAGACTGAGAAAATAGAACGTCCCACCACGTGGCAATTGTATTCGCGAAGAGAGCCTGACCCTCGCGGAAAAGCCCACCTTTTGCATTCGCTAGAGCTTAAGNTTTGCATTCGCTAGAGCGACTCCGTCTCACACCTGTGTTTTTATTTGTGAAAGTAATCCATCTAAAGAGGGGTTCTATCGTGTTTTGTAAGGGTCGATCCCGGCTACCAGGAGGATTTTGTAATCGGTATTAACACGCTGAGCGAGTGAAGCACTTGGGGGGCGCCAGGGCAGGAGGCCCGCGGGGAGAGGGCTCTCAAGGTTGGAAACAGCCCCGAGCGCGGCTCGGTGCTGGCGCGGCAGGAGGGGCCGCGCAGGTGCTGGCCTTGGCCTCCAGTGTGCCCTTCGAGTTTCAAGGCGGGACCATTTGCAGGGATCTTTGCCCTTAACAATCATGCGTGTAGATGCGGAGTGCAGCTTCCAGGAAGCTGAAGCGGACCCCTCTGCCTGCTGGCTTAGGCTTGAAGAAAGAGGGCTTTGGAGAGCCACCGGGGAGAACAGGGCCAGGCTGCTTCTGGTTCGTTCCACGCAGGTCCGGGTCGCGGTCCGGGGCCGCCTGTGTGGCTGAAGCGCCTGTGTGCCGAATGGCAGCTAGTGCCCTAGTTAACAAGGGGCTCTCAGGGCGAGGCCGGCTGTGGCTGTCAGTGCCAGCAGGGGAGGATGCCGGGGATGTCACTAGGGTCCGAAGGCACTGTCCCTGCCCCTCTCGGCAGCCCCTCCATTCTCTCTGGACGCCCAGCCCCTTTCTCCCCTCCCGTCCCCCCTTCTTCCCCTTCCCCTCCCCTCTTCGGGGTGACTGCCAGGGGAGTTAGGCTGCTGGTTGCCCGCAGCCATCTCGGTCCCCCCTGTGACTTGCACTTCTAGTTGAGGGAAACAGCCCAAGGCTTTGCCCACTGCCTGAGTCCTTGCCCGGAGCTTAGGCTCCTGCCGCTCGCCTGCCCCGATGCTGCGCAGCCGCGGCCCCGGGGCCTTGTCACTCCGACCAACGCTGTTGGACCCCGCAGAGCCCTTCAGGGGACCGTGGAGCTCTGCGCTCCAGAGGGGCCTGCGAGTGCGGCGCTCAGAGGCGGCGCCGAGGCGGGAGGCTTGACTGGGCTCCGCAGCTGCCGCGAGGGCCAGGCACCGCCGCCCCACACGGGGGTCCCAGCGCGGTCCAGCCCCTTGCCTCTGCCCCTCGGCCGTCCCCGCGATCCCGTGGGCCTCGCGCAGTAGTCACGCCGCCGCGCTGGGCCCAAGAGCAGGCTTGCTCCAAACCCGGGCACGCACGTGCGCTCCTCGGCCGGGACCTTCCCAGGTCTGCTTCCAGGGACCCAAAGGTGACACACCCCGCCCGCCTGTCGTCCCGCTGCCTGGCTCCCGGGACAGCTGGCGTGGGCTTGGCCAGGGCGATCCTTGGCCGCCTTCCCTTCGCAGCCCGTCTCTCTGGATTCTCAGGCGCCTTCTGGGCGCAGAGAGGCGGACCCGACTCCGCGTGCGCGCCCGACGGTGGTATTATCTGCCGTCTCCAAGGGCCTAGAGCCTGCTGCCCCCCCCCCCCTCG